GTAATGGCGGGTACACAAGTAGTCATTATGCATGGAATCCGGTTTGGCGAACGATCTGTGACAAGCTATGTAATTTTATTGGTTACCTTGATATTGGAGCAATTTCAGAGCCAAAAATCACTTTCTATCTCCGTGTTCATAAAGAAAACCACATTCATCTGATCAGACCAATTTAATTAACTTGCTGTCTTTAAGTTTTCGAATAATACTTTAAATACACATCATTTTTGTGTCAGTTGACAATACGCGTGGACTATGATTTCTTTAGGCTAAATAATAATGAAACGCGCTTGCTGGAGATTCTTCTCAAAAGTACCGGCAACAACAACAATAACTACAACATAAACATAAACAACAGTATGGTGATGATCCGATTTGTACTCAAAAGCTCCGCCACAAAATAGAGCCTATCCAAGTAATGACTATCTTTCCAAGCAGTCAATGTGAATAAAGTGGTCGCTGTCTGCATTTTGGTCAACAATTAGCAATTATTTACCTCCGACAACATTAACTGTGTGAAAGGTCATCCATAAAACCAATATTTTGGTTCCAGACAGCTTTTGCATAGCAAATCCTAACTATCTGTTGTACATCATGTTCTATCTATGCCCCTCCCCCCCCCCCCGGTNCGTCATCACAACAAGCCACTTTTGCGTGTGCCGCTTTGGATGACTTTAACACGGTGACCAGTGTCTATACATTTCAAACCGAAGGCGAAAATTGCGAGGAAGTGTGCAAACTACTGAAAGAGGCGAAAGTAGGTGCATCGTTCTTGTCTTTTTTTTCACTGCCCAAGTTTACTGGAAATAGATCTCATAAATGAGGCGCTTTGATTCGATTCATAAAATTCATGAGTAAAATGTTCCTGATACAACTGACAGTGAAATAATCGAGAGCTTGGCTCATCTGTGATCAAAGCATTAAATCATTTCATATTTGGTGTGCATTTGCATTTGCACTTTATATTACATAACCATTGCATGTTGCAACTTTAAGTTTTGGCGCATCTAGTGGTTCGGTGTAGAACGTGTATATGTTTATCGAACGAAGCAAAGCTCTCTGTTCATCACAGGTTGTGAACAGCTTTATAAACATACTGCTGTGCTACAACTATGGAGACATT